GGGGTGGTCCGGTGTCCCCCATGTCCCATGCCCACCCCGTCCCCTCCCGCCAGGGAGAAGAACCACTCGAGCGTGCCCTACCACTACTTCGAGAAGGGCCGGCTGGACGAGTGCAAGATGTACCTGGTGCACGAGCAAGCCCGCCGCGCCGGGCACCGCTTCATCACCGAGAAAGCTATCTTCTCCCGCTGGGCCAAGAGGAGGAACATCATCTTCACCCACCCGTCCTGGGCAGGCGGGTAGGGCGCCAGCCGTGGGGTGAGGCAGTGGGGACCCCAGCGGCGGGGCGGCTCTCATCCTGCAACGACGTGTCTCGGCTCTGCCGGTGCCACAGTTGAAAGCCTTTTGCCAAGCCCCGGAGCAGGGAGTCTCCGTCTCGGCAGCGGCAGGGCCGGTTCCCCCAGCCGGTGGGTGGGCTGGGACCCCCATGTTGGTGCACAGGGGGCATGAGCTGGACCCACGGAGCCCCATCAGCTCTGAACCTCTGCCCGGATGGACCCAGGATGACCACGAAGGTTTTCCACCCACTCTACTGGGATGAGTATTTAATGTGGGATTAAACATTCGCACTGCTGGGCTCCAGCGCGATGCAGGGCGGAAGAGCTCAGCCCTACCAGGGACACGGTCTGGTGCCTCTCCCAGGGACGAAGCTCTACCGCGGTCCTTGCCCCACGCGTGCCCTGAGACCCGGCACCAGGTGTGGGGTGCAGGGAGCCGGGTTCGGGCTCCCCAATCCTGCTGCCTTCTGCTGCTCTGTGCCCAGCCAGGTCCCTGCACAGGTCCCCTGCGTCCCCCCGGCTGGGAAGCCCAGGGGCCACACACGCCGCAGGGGCTCTGAGTTGCCTTGTTACAAGTGCCCTTGGATTCAGACCAAAGCAAATGTGGCCATTAAAAGCATTTTTAACTCTGTGGCGCCTCATGCTGTGCCCCTTGCAGCTGTGGGATGGGATGGGGGATGGCAGCTGGTCGCAGGGCCGTGGTGTCCCTGCTCTCCTGCCAGGCTATAAATAAGAGGGGGAGGTGACGAGGGGGTAGAGCTGTGCCTGAAGACGGAGAAGGGTGCTGAAAGCCGGCGGTCAAGATTATTTTGGAACCATCAGCTGCTTCACCATGGGACGGGCGCGGGCGCTGGCCCTGGCGTGGATTTCGTGCTGGGTCCAGGGTGATCTTTGGCCCCATTGGGCTCAGCGCTGCCAGGCTGCAGGCAGGGCGGCTGCCAGCTCCTGCATCCCCAGAGAGACGGGGCATGGCACAGGCACGCGTGCGGCCCTGCGCCTGGCTGCACGGAGCTGCCGCAGTGGCTCTGTGAACCCAGAACAGATGCGACGCATTTGGGTGGGCCCGTAGCGTCTGGGGGGCCAGGGCCGGGCAGGAGGGGCAGAGGGATCCATGCTCACTCCCGTTTCAGCTCAGGCCAAGTGCTGGGGTCAAGCAAGGAGCAAGGCGGCTGGGACCTGGGGATGCTGGCAGGGGGATGCAAGCGGGAGCAGAGGAGCCCATGGAGCTGTCGGTTGGGTGCTCCAGCTGCCACGGCCCCACGCAGGGAGGGCATCGCTAGCACAGAAGAGCCAAAATCCCTCTGGACAGGCCTCGGCCGCCGCAGCGGGTCAGTCCTCTCCTCGCCCCACGGAATCCCCCCGAGCGGGGC